CTAAATTCTTGACGTTCGTTGTTGAAAGTCACGCTAATTGAATCCCGGAAGCTACGCCACTTGAATCCCGGAGGCACGCGCCAATTGAATCCTGGAGGCTACGCTATTTGAATCCCGGAGGCAGTTCAATAGATAATGTCAGTGAAGAATCAGAGGACTAGACAGAGATTTTGTACCTGCATTTGAATTATACACACGCTATACACGGAATTTTGTGAATATATACCAAGTTTACTTTTTGTGTTTACAGATTTTGGCACGCCCAATGGGACAACTCTGCCTCTCATCTCTTCACTGTTGATTCACGAGCTCTACAAGGAAGGAATCCAAATGGCATCAAGAAATCCCTCCTCCAAGATGACCTATGCTCAAGCTACCCGCTCCAAGGGATCATCCGTGGCTGGTTCCGGTGATAGCCAAAATGTGAAAGGAGCAATGACTCGGAGCCGAGTGAGGAACCTAGGGGTGCAACTGAACGAGACCCAGAACATGGTTCGTAACATCGTCTGAAGGATTGAAAGCAACTCCACCAAGTCATGGAAAGCTGCATATGACAAGGGTTCATCTTCGACGATGGAAACTGTTAGCGACAAGAGTCATATGGGCCCTACTACCACAAAAGGAACTCCCAGCAGCGGAAGTATGACTCCCCCAAAAGGAACCCCTGGCAACGGTAGCTCGTCTCCTACATCTCAATCATCACCTCTGCAGAAAACATCGTCGGAATTGACTCACAGCTACACAGTCATGCCCGTTATGACGACGAACGCAGCTTCGGTGGAGGAACAACTAGCAAACATCACCAAAGCTCTTGAGGGGATAACTACGTTCATGCATAACCAAGACAGGAGAATCAATGAGCTTAGTGAAAAGGTTGAAAGTGGAAGAAACGGCGAAACAAGTCGAGCTTCTGAGAAGCAGCCTCAAACTCAAGAGGATGAGATTGATGTCGAGTCACCGCGTCATGAAAGTAGGCCAGGAATGGAAGAGACAATCTCTCGTCCACCACCCGCTGAGAAGAGTATTCCAATTTCTGAGGGCATGATACCTGTAGACCAGTTGAATGACTACATCATGGGAGCGATCAAAGGGAAGCTTGAGGGAGGACAATCTCCATACACTTACACTAAGCCCTATACTCAGAGGATTGAAGAAATGAAGATGCCGTTGGGCTATCAACCTCCCAAGTTCCAGCAGTTTGATGGAAAAGGCAACCCAAGGCAGCACATCACCCACTTCATTGAAACCTGTAATGGTGCAGGAACATACGGAGACCTCCTCGTCAAGCAGTTCGTCCGCTCTCTGAAGGGCACTGCCTTTGATTGGTACACCGACCTGGAGCATGGTTGCATTGATAGCTGGAATGATATGGAGCGCGTGTTCTTGACCCGCTTCTACAGCACAAGAAGGACTGTCAGCTTCTTGGAGCTCACCACTACCCACCAATGGAAGGGTGAGTGTGCGGGCGCTTACATCGAGAGATGGAGGGAGTTGTGCCTTAACTGTAAAGAAAGGATATCCCAAAGCTCCGCAATTGAAATGTGCATCCAAGGGATGCACTTCGAGCTCTCTTATATCTTGCAGGGAATCAAGCCTGGAACATTTGAAGAATTATCCAGTCGTGCTCATGACATGGAATTGAGTATTGAAGCCAATGGGGGACTAAACATGTCAAGTATGCCCAGCTCATCAAAGGCACCTACAAACCAAGATGTCAACAAATGGAGTAAGTTCTTTCCAAAGCAAGAGAAGAAAGAGACGATGAACGTGATGACAGGACCAATGCAGGTTTTCACCAAAGTGTCTGAGAAGCCCAAGCAAAGATCATTCCCTGGCCCATCAAGGGGGGCTAGAAAAACAATTGTTGAAGAGTGGCAGGAGAAACAATATCCATTTTTGGATTCTGACGTTTCTCCTATGTTTGACGAGTTGCTGAAACTCAAATTAATTGAATTGCCTGAGATGAAGCGCCCCGAAGAAGCTTCTAGGGTGGATGACCTAAACTATTGCAAATATCACCGTCTCCTCGGCCACCCAATTGAAAAGTGCTTTGTCTTTAAAGATAGAGTCATGGCGCTTGCTCGAAATGGAAAGATAGAGCTTGCAGATGCTAGCGCAAGCACAAACCAAATTTCATGTGGGAGGTTTGCTCCATTACTTCTAGAAGATGAGGAGAATAATGGGGGCAAGCAACATAAATGCACACTTCCATTTAGAGTAAAGCATGCTGGCGTCCAGTATTTAAAACCATCACAACTTGATCCTGCTAGTCATATTAGACCATTAAAGAAAATGACAAAGCAATGGGTTGAGAGGAAGTCGGCAAGGAACCCTGTCCATGACTCGAAGAAGAAAGGACTTCCCAACAAGCCACGGGCACCAGTTACCCTAGCTCAATACATGCCAAAGGGGTTTCGCCTGAAAGCAGCGAGGTCCAAACTCGCAAAGCCGCATCTTACACTGCGGAGATAATTTTCAAAGATGAAGATCTATTGCTTGGTGGTGCACCACACGATCGCTCGCTGTTCGTAGACGGTTATGCACGCGAGCGAGGAATCAAAAGGATTTTGATTGATCAAGGATCGGCTGTGAACATTCTGTCACTCCGAGCTATAAAAGAACTTGGCATCTCTACCGACGAGCTCTCTCAAAGCCACCTGATGATTCAAGGTTTTAATCAAGGTGGGCAAAGGGCACTAGGTACCATCAGACTCGATCTCAGGGTCGGAACATTGAACTCAAATACACTATGTTATGTTATAGATGCAAGGACGTCTTACAATTTGTTGCTAGGCCGACCTTGGATACATGAGAACGGAGTAGTCCCCTCATCATGGCACCAGTGCCTCATGTTTGAGAAATGCGGTGTGATAGAAAAGGTGGTCGCTGATGAAAGTCCATTCACCGAAGCAGAGTCCTACTTTGCAGACGCAAAATTTTACTTGAAGAAACAAGTTATTGTTGAGGAGATTGACAAAAGCGATGTTGACACACCTCCCGATCCAATGTGGAAAAGCAAACAAGTCGTAGACCAACCTCATTGCCATAAGGAACTTGTTTTCCCGCTTACAAGAATTGAACCATTGAAAGCTCCCCCAGCCAAACCGCTTGGAGAAGAAACCAAAGATAACGATGCTCGGGACGGAATAGATGAAATGTTGCCTGTTAAGCGCACTAATGGCTTCGACCCCAATGCTTATAAACTTCTAGCTAAAGCTGGCTACAATCCCAATGAGCCGCAGAAGTTGGGGAAGCTTATCCCAGAAGCCGGCGAAAAAGGCAAGTCAAATCAGCAGGGACCGCATGAACGTAAAGGATTAGGCTATGGGCTCCCTAAACCAGTGCGGATCTTCATAAACAGAGCCGCAAGTAATTGCATCACGTCTACCGATGAGGAGGAACAACACAAGAGGCAATCAGTCTTTGATAGGATTGGCGAGGTAGAACCACGACGGTCAGCCTTTCATAGGCTTGGGTCAAATCCCAAACCTGCTAAGAGGAAGTCAATACATGACAGACTTGGAGCTTCTCGAGTTTTAAAAGAACACACCAGTACTTCTTTTGAAATAGAGTCTTCAAAAAGGCTTAGAAGTATAGTTCCCTCTCATATGAGACGAGAAGTTGATGTCCATGTTTCATGCAACGAAGTTTTAAAGGTCCAGCCAAAGACCATTATATACACCCGTGTGCAAGAAGGAAAAGAAGAAGACCTTGATTCCGGTTATGGAGCGACACCAACTCAAGATGAGGTGCCGTCTTCATTCCACATTAATTGACATGATGAGATCCCGGTTGCGGGGGGCATGTACAACTTTGATGAAAATGATGCGCAAGTCGGCCCTATTAATTAAGTAAACGAGACTACTTGATGAATGATGTCCACCAAAAATGCAGCACGTGGTTAAACTGCTAATGCATCTCGCTTGTCTATGGGTAGGCCCAAGTCATAGACGCTCCTGGCCCGCATGAGCTTAAACTGTGAACGGCTTTACTTAAAAAAAAAAAAATTGAACAACGTTTGACTTGATCTCTTTCGTGGGAGTACGTAGGCAGCTTAGAAATTTTATTGTCTAAGTTCAGTCATAACAAAATTTTTATATTTTTTTTTCCAAGATAGTGATTCTATTCAAGAACATGTTAATTATTGGCATGGAAAGGAGGAGAACAGGTCTAGGAAGCATTGCGAGTCATGGAAAATAATTGTCAAAGCATGCATTTTCGCAACAATCGGTCACTGTTCGGTATTTTGGTCATATCTCGATCTATAATAGTCCGATTGAGGTGGTATGGGTATTGTTGGAAAGCTAACTTACAGAGCTACAATTTTCATGAAGACATCTAAACTTGAATACGACTTTTGAAGGGTCAAAATTCGAGGGGAAATAAAGTCACGAATCTGTCCAGAATTTCCTACGTTCATATCTCATTTAAATCTTTCAAGGAGAAGGTTTATGGGTAGTTTTCATGGTTCCTTTTAATGTTCAGGAATATTAAAATGCAAGAGAAGTATGCTAACAATCCAATAAAGGAATGAGCTAAAGCGAAACAACAATACAAATTCGAAGCTATAATGAAAAAGTGAGCTAATGGAACGACAGCTTGCGTGGCATCGAATTATTGTTGAGCATGGGTAAAAAGAGTTTCAATTATTGGTCATGAATTTCTTTGAATTTCTCTTTCGTGCTCAGGGGTCCAGTTGTTAAGGGTGGTGGATTAATTGCTATGATCGTTAATTGCTATGATCGTTGTATATCACCAGGCTCTTTAATCCCAAACCGTGTGTTTTAAAATTATACCAAATTCGAGAAAACCGCGACAAGAAGTGCAATAATAATTAATGTTATTATTATTATCATTATTATTATATTAGTATTACTATTAAAATATCAAAAGAAACAAAAAACGAAAACAAAAAAAAAGGTGAAAAGAAAAAAAACAAAGCAGAAAGTTTACAAAGGGAAAATGAAAGACAAAATGAAAAAGCAAGCAAAAGAAAAAGAAAGAGGGGAATAGGGGATACGAACTACGAAGCAGAAGAAAGAAAAAACGTGAGGCAAATAAAAAAAAACGAAAGGGGATGGGTGCAGCTGTCACAATGGGCTGTGATCATTGTCATCACATTGGACACTGTGTTGTCATCTCTCCATTAATTCAAGTTTCATGGTCTCATCCCTGAAAGAAGAAAGAAAATAAAAGAGTTCAGTTTGCAGTAGACCAGTGGTGGCTCCCTTCGTCCGTTTCTTCTCTCGGTACATACGGCAACGACGGGGGTGCATCTGTCCACGTCCAGCAGTCCGGCAACCTGCAACAAACGGTAAAGAATTCCGGCGACTTCGATGAAGAACAGTCTCCGGAGCGGTAATCTTCAAGCGGCTCCAACAGCGTTAGTGGGTGAGCGGCAACTTCTGAAAAAAAAAAAAAAAAAAAAAAAAAAAAAAAAAACTAACTCTGGCAAAGGCAGTGACGAACTCCAGCTCACCGGTTGGCCTTCTCCGATGGTTGAGCAGCAGGCTCCGGTCTCCATCTTGACGCGAGCCTCCCTCCTGCAAAACAAATCTTGACATGAGCCTCACCCTCATGTAAAACAAATCTTGACATGAGCTTCCCTCCTGCAAAACAAATCTTGACATGAGCTTCCCTCCAATAAAGCAAGAAGTCACCGCAAGCAGCGTTGATGGCGAGGAACAGTCTCCGGCGAAGGGGCTGAGCGGCATCAATAGTTGAGCGGCGGTTTCCAGTGACTCCGATGAAGAGCTCCGTCGGCAACGAGGTACGAGCACGGCAAGTAGAAACTCACACTCTGGCGGTATGGTTCCCGCTCTCCGATGGTTGTTCTACTTCCTTGGCACCATTCACGTCGCTCGTTGTTTCATGAGGTTGACAAAATTCTCCGAGGCGCTTCAACAGTGGCGATTTACAAAATCCAGAGCTCCCGGATTGCTCCTTACACTTATGTTGCTCCTTTCCTTTTTGATATTATATTGCAGCCATACGTGTTGTCATTCCAGCTTCATATAGGAAATTATTTATATATGATAAGAATGGCATTTACCTTGTTGAGGGACAAAGTTCCAGTGATCAGCATCTCTTCCTTGCTCTTCTCTGCTTTGTGATTGGCGTGAATGTGGATGTGTTGAGGCTCCCATTTATAGCACACGATGGGATGGTATTGTAGTTGGAGTTAACTGAAATTTAGCATCCTAATATGATTGAGACTCCTGCAAAAGTGGGATTAGTTATGCCGCTACAATCTTGCATGAGACGGTTGTAGTGAGCTTAGCTTCTCTGGCTATACTTGAAATTGAAACAGTCTGGAGGATCATATAGATTTGGGGCTCATGGAAAATCCAAGCTTATAATTAGGCTCATAAAATTAAAATGCATTTTAATCTTTCGTGATTAAAATGGCTTGAGTTCATGGAATATCCCAGCACGCAATTGGGCTCATTTTGTGCCAATTTAATCTTTTGATTTGGGTTCACGAAATATCCAGGCAAACATTTAGGCTCATGGAATTTAGATGCACTACGATGAATTTAAAGGACCGTTAATTTTCGAGACTTCCTCGGTCCAAGCATATCAAGTGGCGTGTCCCGACAAGTCTCGAGGGGGCAATTTGTAGACACAGAAAATTTGAACCCGACAAATGGACTGACGAAATTGTTATTGGGTCGATGTTGAGATTGTTATTGGGCCAATTTAATTAATTGGATCATAGAAATTAAATTGATTTAATTAGTCCAATTAAATTTGATTTTGGGCTATTGAATTAATTGATTAGTTGGCCCAAGCCCACTTCATATTTGAATTTAAATTATAATTATAATTTAAATATAATATTAATTTTATTATATTTGAATTAGATAATTATAATTTAATTTGAATATGAATTAGATTATACAATAATGAACCTGGACTTGATCTTAGACAAGGTTCATTTTCCTAATTAATTAATTAATTAATTAGTTAACTAAAAAGGGGAGTTGGTTGAGGAATTTTGGTTAAGCTTTTAGTATAAATAGGGCCTTCGTTTTCATTCCAAAACACACTTGAAAGCTTGAAGAACTTGAAAGCTTGAGGAACTTGAAGGCTTAGAGCTTGAAGAACAACGCTTGACAACTTGAAGACTTGAGGAGTTGAGAACATTTGAAGAACAACTAGAGCATTTGAAGAGCTTGAAGGCATTGAAGAACGCTTGGCATTTTTGTTGATTTTGCAGGCAATTTGAATCCATTGAAGGTACTTTGGAGCTTTGCAGAATTGATTGTCTCGAAGATCTTGACGTCTTTTGAAGGCATTTGAGGATCTTAAAGCAGCTTGAATCCATTGCATGTGTTTTGAAACTTTGCAGGGTTGATTATTTCTAAATTCTTGACATTCGTTGTTGAAAGTCACGCCAATTGAATCCCGGAAGCTAACGCCACTTGAATCCTGGAGGCACGCGCCAATTGAATCCCGGAGGCTACGCTATTTGAATCCCGGAGGCACTGCAATAGATAACGGCATTGAAGAACGCTTGAAGACTTGAAGGCATTTTTGTTGATTTTGCAGGCAATTTAAATCCATTGCAAGGTCGATTATTTCTAAATTCTTGACGTTCGTTGTTGAAAGTCACGCCAATTGAATCCCGGAAGCTACGCCACTTGAATCCCGGAGGCACGCGCCAATTGAATCCCGGAGGCTACGCTATTTGAATCCCGGAGGCAGTTCAATAGATAATGTCAGTGAAGAATCAGAGGACTAGACAGAGATTTTGTACCTGCATTTGAATTATACACACGCTATACACGGAATTTTGTGAATATATACCAAGTTTACTTTTTGTGTTTACAATTGCTATGGATCGTCCTAGGAGGACAATTAAAAAACCTGCTAGGTATGCTAGTGATGATGAAACCAACATGGTTGCTTATGCTTTTTCAGTCGCATAGGAAGTTGATGTTGATCCATCCTACTATTCTGAAGTTTTTCCTATTGCTAAGTTCAAGCAGTGCTTGAGTTTAGTCGACTGTTCCAGTTGTTGATTCTCATAATGAATTTGATCCAAGGTGGAGATTGTTAAGATAATAATTATTGTGACTCAAATTGAAGACAATTCCATGCAGCACTCCCTCCACTATCGCAATTGCCGCAAGCACGTACTGCATGTATTGCCTAATTGTTGTGCCATTCCTCCCATCACATGCGCATTTCTCTCTATTTTTCTATGTATAATAGGTTAGTTTCATTGTTTTCATTGCAACATCAATATTGAATTCTTCTTTCTTCCTTTTGCATTCTCTCACGTAGATAACATCTATATATATATATATATATATATATATATATATATATATATATATATTTGCTTTTGTACTCTATATTTAGAGTTAATATATATATATATATATATATATATATATATATATATATATTTTCCCACATTATTAATTTCTTTTGTCATTTTATATATTTCCCTATTATTTAACTTCTATAATTCTCAATTTTCAATTATTCGCTTCCGCATTATTTCGCTATATTCCTAACAATAGTTAAATTGTTTGTTTTAAAAAAAAGAATTAACTTCTCTATTCTAATCACTTATTGAACTGAGATTTAGTGTAAGTTAATTGTCTATATAACTATATTGTTGTAAATTACAAATGATATCATTACAAAAATTTAAACACATAAATTAACATCCATCTTTCAAATTAACAAATCAAATCTTATTTTCACTAATGAAAATATAACTTTATTATTGGTGCATGGAAAATTAACATGTAAAAATATCAAATGATGCAAATTAAGTGCATCATTTGATGATAAGAAATGACACTCTAATAAAGTACGTGATGAACCAATATGACGCATGTGGCATGTGCATGACTTGCATATATGCCTTCCCCTTCCTAACCTCTAGAGTCTAGATCCATAAACCAACTGTTATGCATCCGCTCCGGCCTAAACCGGCCTTCTTTATTCTCTAGCTAGAGTGCAAAGTGCAGACTGCGGAGGACAAGACGGTTCAGAAAAGATTTGAGAAAAAGACACATAAGCATTGAACTCCATGTCCTTGTCTAAATTGCACATAACTTCCTGTGCCAATCCAATCCACACTTGTATTCCCCCATCTTCTGCATCCAAGAAAATAGCCAAATCCTCCAGTGTATAACCCAGGCCAATCCATATGGGCTTGCCCCACCCAAAATTAACTTGAGGAAACGAAAAATTACACATACTACTTATACGTAAAACCTTAATCTCATCAGCATTATGAAGCGTCTTTGTTACGCCTAATAGGGCTCTAAGATACCCACCCTCGGCGTGCATTTCCCTCACGTAGTCGTCGGTAACCTTGTGGATGGCTTCCGCGACTCTTCCTACAAGAAACCCGGCAGTAACTCTTCCACCCCCGTCGGCTTCCGATTCCCACCGAGCGGCCACCACTTGGTTGATGTTGCCTAGGCACTGCGAAGGGAATGGCGGGTTCAACTTCTTTCCCAAGTTCACCACATTTGTCAACAAATGCGTCTTGAGGTTTGGGTTCGCCTGTAGACTTGCCCGTATCACCGCCGCCCATATGAACGCCGACAACGCCTCCACCCGAGACGGACGGCGGCGGTGCTCCGATGGCTGATAATAATCGTTCCTTAGCCGCTCGATATCCCGCTTGCCAAAAACAAATCTTTTCGATGAGTACTTTCCCGGTTTCTTGAGGGAAAGGGGCTTTTGCGGGGAGCTGACGAAGTTCCCCGGCCTGAAAATTGTGGAGGCGTCCACGACGAGACCGCCGGGATTATTGGGTTCTTCCCCACGGTTGATTGCCGCCCATGTGTTAAATAATCCGGTCATCGCGGCGCCGTCCGCCAGGCCGTGCCAAATGCAGAACGCCACCGCAGTTCCGCCGCACCGGAACCTGTTCACCTGAACAGCTAACATTGGCTGGGCGGGGTCAATAGCATTTGGGTAGGGATCAAGTGGAAGCATCTGGCGTATATCTTCGAGTTTGGGGTTCCGGAGAAACTCACCCAAATCACAATTTGTAACTTTAGCTCGGACAAAATCCGCACCCTCGTCGTTGCATTCAATGGTCGATCCATCTTTAATTCTTCCGGCGAGCGGGTACAAGACGGACAGTGTCTTCATGAGCGAGTCCTTGAGCTCATCATAATCGTGGCGACCAGGGCCGCCGGCAGGGGAGTCGTAGAAGAAAACAAATGGGTTATAAAAAGTCGAGATTAATATATCAAGGAGAGAAAGCTTGTAGTTTCTCAAGGTTTGGGGAGTTGGTGAACATGGCCTCACTTTCTCTTTCTGATAAACTTCAACTTTTAGGGCCATTGGATCGATGGGTACTTTATTTCATAATTCCCACTTATGATCACATACGCTGTATTTATAACCAGTAGCGGCTGTGAATAAAATAAAATTTTCTTTTATCCCAAATGAAATGAAATATATTTTTATGAACACGTGAAAGGAAGTGTGAATTTAATCTAATATACACGTGAATGGAAGTGTGAGTTTAATATAATATTTCACCATTAATCATACTAAATTTGCAATTTTTTAAATTTGTAAATTGTAATTTGTACAAACACTACTGGGAATCTTCTATTTACTGACCATTTTTCCGACCATTCTCAAAAATGGTCGAAAAAATTGACTTTTTTTTCATTTTTCCGTCAAAGAATTGGGTTGTACGGAAAGGGGTCGAAATTTACGACAACTTGTTTCTTAGTAGTCGGAAAATGCCGACCAAGTATATGCGGTCTTACATTTTTTTGGACCATTTAAAATTTTGTTTAAATTGATTGGAATGTTTGAATTAAAGAAAATCTTTTTATATCAAAAACTTATTAGTTACTTCACGCCTCTGTTCTCTCTAATATTCACGCTTCTCTTCTCTCTAATAGTCAAAATCCCTCCCTTCTCTCTGCGACGCAACGGAGATGGAGAGAGTTTGGGACGGAGGTTGTCCAGACGGTGCCATTGTTCCATTGCGACGGAGGTCGTCAACGAGAAGCTCTCCAGAAGCTCCTGGAGAACTTCTGAAATTTAAAAAATATGTAAATTCTAAAATTATTTTGAAATGAGTTTTTTAAAAACTTTATATTAATTAAGAAATGTCACAAAAATATTTTCGAATGAGTTTATGCCAATTTTGGAGTCAAAATAGAGATTGCTAACTTCACGAAAATTTTCATGCAACATAGCTTAACAAGTGTCCATGACTTACAAGTTGATGAAGACATGGAGTATTGGTCTTTTTGACTGTTACAGAAATTTTTTTTGCTTTGCTTCCTGCAAGGAGTGATGATGATTCTTGAATGCTATTTCTAGCCATGGAAGGGAATATGAACTTTAATCAAAGAAAAAATATATGATTTGTTAGGAATAATTATTGTATAAATTCGGTTGTAACCATAAGAGCTTTTCGACAAAAGTCTAGCCTTCAGCAAACCTTAGGAGCTTTAAGAGAGGCCCCGTTCCATCCTTTTTACTGTTACCCTCGTTCCCATTATGGTTTGCTGCTTGTTCGATCCATTTTTTCCTTTCATACTTCTTACTATTTCTTACTATTCCTTTCATACTTCTTACCATTATGGTATTGTTTCACCTTCCTTGGCCGGTGGTTGGTCTTTCTGGCATCGATAACTACTATGCCTGTAAATGCCACACTTGAAACATACAAGGTGGATGCCGTCGTGCTCAATCATGCGCACATTTGGTCTCAAACTAAATCGAGCAAGCAACAACTTAGTAATGTCCACTTCAAAACACATTCGCACGAATTTACCCCTAGAGATTAGGCACCAATTTAAGGTTTGTTTCCATGACCTAGGAATCCACCCACACCTTCTATTTCTCAATTGTTATGTCATGGACTAGGATTCCCCTTGCATTGTGATCCTTAGTTCAAACAGTTATGTATGATAAATTGAAGGCACATAAATTGTTAACTATAAACACATAATTTGTTAACTGCAGACAAATAATATGTTAACTGCATATTTATGTGTGAGGAAAGATAAGTGAGAGATGGAAGATTCATGAGATAAGATGATGGTTTAACTGTTTCATTAGTCTAGCAGAAAGCAAAGCAAGCAACATATATACAAGGTGATAAGGCGGCAAAAGAAATTATAACAAACTAATAAGCCAATGAGTAAAAGACATTTTTGGTCCTAGACTTATAGTGGCTTGGACAATTTTAGTCCTTTATAAAAAAATTTGTCATTTTATGGACAGAGTTATTGTGGCGAGGACATTTTTGGTCCTCCGTCTATATTTCTGTTAGATAACCGTATGAGAGAGGGGCAATTACGTCAATTTAGGCTATCTCTTTATTGTGAGATGGACGATTTTGGTCCCACAACCATGCCTTTATTCTGACCCTCATTTATTTGTTGTTTTGCACTACGAAATGCTCTGCCCACAACCATGCCTTTACCGCAACTTGGACTCTCCGACTCCTTCGAATTATGACCGAGAAGAAAACAAAACACACATAGATATAATAGATAGAAGGAGATAGCCTAAATTGACGTAATTACCCTTCTCTCAGACGGTTATCTAACAAAAATATAGACGGAGGACCAAAAATGTCCTCGCCACAATAACTCTATCCATAAAATGGTAAATTTTTTTATAAAAGACTAAAATTGTCCAAACCACTATAAGTCTAGGACCAAAAATGTCTTTTACTCTAAGCCAATTTACAAAAGAACCCTACTAATTCTTTTCATCTTCATCAACAGTGTCACCTTTATGCTTCATTACCCCCCCCCCCCCCTAAGCTGGAGCATGGAGGTCTTGTATGCCCAGCTTAGACTTGAAGCAACCATACTGTGGAAGGTGAAGAGGCTTTGTAAATCCATCCTCTACTTAGTTGGCAGATGATACAGATAGCAGCTTTATAAACCCTTGGTTCAGCTTTTCTCGGACAACATGGCAGTCAATATCAATGTGTTTGGTGGGCTCGTGGAAAACATGATTCTCGACAATGGCAACTGCCGATTTGTTGTCACAAGATAATGTTGCTGGCATAGTTGTTTCAATCTGCAAGTCATTCATCAAATATGTTAGCCACTGAACTTCACAAACTGTGGCTGCAAGGGCACGGTACTCAGCTTCGGAGGATGATCTTGAGACAGTGATTTTCTTCTTCAACCTCCAGGAGACAAGTGAAGGCCCAAGGAACACACAGTATCCTGTTATTGACCTACGAGTATCACTGCATGTCACCCAATCCGAGTCTGAAAAGGCTTTGAGATGCAAATCAGTGTGTGTAGGATATAGCAGTCCCTGACCTAGAGAACTCTTGATATACCTCAAAACACGACTAGCTGCTGCTAAGTGTAAGTCCGTAGGGGCATCTACGAACTGGCTTAGTTGCTGGATAGCATAGGTAATATCTGGTCTGGTGGCAGTGAGGTATAATAATTTGACAACCAACCTTCTGTAGGTACTAGCATCTATGAGAGGAGTGCCTTCATTACGCATGAGTTTCAGCCCTTGGATCATAGGTGTTTTCACTGGTTTACATTCAAGAAAACCAACTTCTTCCAAAATATCTAACGCATACTTGCGTTTAACCCTGCTGCTGTCATATTTGCCTCAATTCCCAGGAAGAATCCCAACTGCCCTAAATCTTTGATCTTGAAAGTACTGTCCAAGAACACTTTGAGAGACTGAATCAGCTCTAATTTGTCACTAGCAACAAGTATATCATCGACGTAGATGAGTAAGGCGATGAAGTTGTCTCTATCACCCTTAGTAAACAGAGAGGATCAGCCTTGGATTGCCTAAAGCCAATTCGAACAAGAGCATTAGTGAGCTTTGCATTCCACTGTCTACTAGCTTTCTTAAGGCCATAAAGAGGCCTGAGTAATCTGCATACTTGGTGTGGTCTTTCACTTTCAAAGCCAGAAGGCAATACCATGTAAACCTCTTCATTCAAATCACCGTGCAAGAAAGCATTGTTGATGTCCAATTGATGAATACTCTAATTGTTGGACACGGCTATAGCTAGAAACGTACGTATGGTGGTTAATCTTGCCATGGGAGAAAAAGTTTCGAGATAATCAACACCGAGCTGCTGAGATAGCCCTTTGCCACAAGTCTCGCTTTATAGCGTTTTATTGTGCCATCAGCTTTCAATTTTACTTTGTAAACCCATTTACACCCTATAGGGGTCTTTTCTAGGGGTAGATCAACGAGTTCCCACGTTCTATTCTCCTGGAGAGCAATGATCTCTGCAATCATTGCCTTTTGCCAACAGTCATGTTGCACAGCCTGGCTGTAAGTTCTTGGCTCACTAAGAGAGTTGACAGTCATGGAAAACACCTTGTGGGAGGAAGCCAGGTTGTCATAAGTCACCCAAGGAACCAAATCATGTTGGGTACCTAAAAATGTGTAATTTATTTGCAGGAAATTTGGTACTTCGATAGTGGATGTTCGAGACACATGACTGGAAATAAATCTAGTCTTGTGAATTTCAAAAATATCGAAGGACCAAAAGTCGTATTTGGTGGAAATGAACGATACGACATAACCAAAGGAATTGGTACAATATCTCGCAATGGTTTAAAAATTGAAGATTTATACTTTGTTGAAGGTCTAAAATTCAACTTGTTAAGTACAAGTCAATTTTGTGACAAAGGATATCTAGTAAAATTCTTCAAAGACAAATGTAAAGTGAAGAATGATTCCACAGAAGAAATCGTACTCGAAGGAACAAGAAAGAAAAAAATGTACATAGTTGACTGGAGTATAACCAAGAAATCAACATGCTTGATTGCAACAAATTCAACTGCAACAAGTTGGGAATGACACAAAAGATTAAATCATCTAAACTTTAAGACCATCAACAAGCTAGCAAGAAACAAACTCGTTGAAGGTCTACCCGACATTTTTTACAAGAAAGATCAAATATGTGATGCTTGACAAAGAGGAAAACAAGTCAAGTCATCCTTCAAGTCCAAGTCTCAAGAATCTACAACAAGACCGCTAAGTCTACTACACATGGATCTATTCGGTCCAATAGACCCAGTAAGTATAAGTGGTAAGAAATATACAATAGTAGTTGTTGCTGATTTTTCCAAGTACACATGAACGATATTTCTCAAAAAGAAAAATGAAGTGGAACAAAAACTACCAGAACTTCTAAAGTTACTACAAAACGAGAAAGACTTGAAAATTGCAAAAATCCGAACTGATCGTGGAACTGAGTTCGAGAATCAAGTGATTTAATCCTACTGCAATTCTCAAGGAATTCCACATCAATTATCCACCGCACGTACACCGCAACAAAATGGTGTAGCCGAAAGAAGAAATAGAACGCTAAAAGAAGCCGCATGTGTGATGATTACGTCAGCCGAGCTACCTAAAAGATATTGGGCTGAAGTAATCAACACTGCATGCTATACGCAAAATCGAAGCTTGATACACAAGTCTTACAACAAAACTCCGTACAAGTTATGGAAAGGGAGAAAACCTAAAATCAACTATTTTCATACTTTTGGTATCAAATGCTTTATTCTTAATAATGGTAAAACATATCTAAAGACTTTTGATGAGCGTGCAGATGAAGAAATATTTTTGGGATATTCATCTACCAGTAAAGCTTTCAAAGTACTAAACAAAAGATCAATGGTGGTAAAAGAATCAATTCATGTTACATTTGATAAAGTCCATAAGAAGGAAACCCAAAGCAACAAAAATGATCAGGAAAGTTGTCAAGTTGAAAAATCATTTAATGATACTGGCATCTCTTTCAAAGATAATGTTGTACAGGGAATAGAGCAAGTGGACATTGATTACAACAGTGAAGGACACGTGGAAGGAAATGAATAACCACACGTGGAAATACAAAATTCTCAAGCAGAAGCACAAGTTGGAGAACAATCTGAGGAGCAAATTGAGCCCACCTCCAACTTACCCACTGAGAAAGGAAACGTGGAAAATCCATGCAATCCACAACCTGACTTGAGATGGCTCAAAAATCACCCTCCAGAGCTAGTTATTGGAGATCCACGTGAAGGAGTAAAAACAATATCCTCAAATATAGATGCTTTATTTTCTTGTTTTCTTTCTCAGGTGGAACCCACAAGTATTGAAGAAGCCCTAAATGATCCGGACTGGATTAATGCAATGCAAGAAGAGGTGGATCAATTTAAAAGAAATAATGTATGGGAATTAGTTATAAGACCCGAAAATTACAATGTAATTGGAACAAAATGGGTATTCCGGAACAAAGGCAATGAAGAAGGAATTGTTGTTCAAAATAATGCAAGATTAGTGGCAAAAGGATATTCACAAGAAGAAGGAATAGACTTCGACGAAACATTTGCACCCGTTGCAAGACTCGAAGCCATCAGAATATTTCTAGCATATGCCGCATACAAGAATTTCACCGTCTACCAAATTGACGTGAAAAGTGAATTTTTAAATGGCTTACTTGAAGAAGAAGTCTACGTCGAACAGCCACCCGGTTTCGAGGTAAAAGGTGATATTAATAAGGTCTACAAATTAAAGAAGGCGTTATACAGGTTAAAACAAACACCTAGAGCTTGGTATGACACCCTATCAACGTTCTTAATTCAAGAAAATGATCACATTTTATTGGTACAAATTTACGTTGATGATATTATTTTTGGAAGTACTAATAAAACTTTATGTGACAAATTTTCCAAGCTTATGCAGAATAGGTTTGAGATGAGCATGATGGGAGAGTTGAACTACATTCTTGGTTTACAAGTAAAGCAACTCAACGATGGAATATTCATCAATCAGGCCAAATACACAAAAGATCTTATAAAAAAATTTAGTCAAGATGGAAAATACTCAATTAAGATCTCGATGAGTGGTGAGCTATCGTAGGCTCCCAAATTAAAACCTTACAAACGTAGTAGCGGGAGTAAGGATCGATCCCACGAGGAGTAACTAGTTTAAAATATGTGCTCAAATTAAAGGAAGGGGGGTTTGGAATATATCGAGAATAAAGATAAACTAAAAGAGAATTTAAATAAACAAGTAATTTAACTGAACGAATAAAGCAATGAAAATAATATATCGAAAACACTTATAATAAGAAACCTTGGTAAGTAAAGATCCACCACCGGAATTCAACACTGATCATTGATTAATAAAGTAATTAATATGCAATTGAATATTTGTCGTGAAATTATTTCGTTTCTGTTTTCCCTTAGTTGTAGGTAAATAAAGCACAAGCGGTTTAATTACCCCTAACTACTAAATAATCTAAGACAAGCGCTATAGATTTAATTTAATAGCAGCAATAGGAACTAGGAAAACCGACAAACTAAATAACACAAGCACAAGCGGTTGCATTTAATTTAGGAAAATATTCTACCCGAGACCAATTATCACTAAGCCGTCAAGAATTAACCTCAGTTGCTACTGAATATTAGAATAATTTGTAGCACAACATTATCTAATATAGCAAATAATTATATCAAATAAATAACTAGTAGGCCTCCCTAGCAATTAAATGATACAACTATTCAAATAATTTTAGCAGAATATTTAATACTCAAATGCATAGAAACATATATAATAAAAATAAATAAATAATCTTACAGCATAATCAATTCCGGGGCATCAATTCACTAAGCCAAGGTAGAAGAAATTAGCCACGAATGGACATTGGTAACAACTTTAAAGAATAATCGAGAGGGGAAGAATGAACATTTTACAATAAAACACTTATACTATTTATACACTTTCTAAAAATAGGTCAAATGAACGTCCACCGCCCATTTCCTCCGTTTGTGATGTTTGAAGAGTTCTCCGCTGCGCAAGAATCGGCCGATGATGACATTTTCATTGCTTTCGTACGTGAGCTGCGCATGGGGAAACAAAAGAAAATTTTATTTGTTTGCTTTCTTTTATGTTAGTAATTGAACCAACAACACTTAAAATAATATTAAATAAAAGTAAAGACTTTACTAAAAGCTTTAGGTTTCAAAACATAACTTTATAACTAAATATTATTATAAAACACTTATTTAACTAATTAATTATTAAATTCTAAAAAGAAATAATTATTATATAATAGTAAATAATTAATGCAAAATAATTATAAAGATGTATATAAAATAAGAGTGTAAAATATGCCCGTCAAATTCCCCCACACTAAAACGTTTGCTTGTCCCCAAGCAAAAATATTATTTGCGAAGTAAATTAAAATGATATTCCCAAAACTCATAACATATCATGAACAACAATCTGAAGTACCGTGCAATTAATAAGTTAGCACCCTGTTTGAAAATGGAGAAAACTAAATAAGTAAGCCCTCACAGGAATATCACTCATCACTCAAGTGTTTGATGGGTATAAATTTCACTCAAGTTCATTCCTATAAAATTGATCTACCATAGGCTTGCATATCTTCTCAATCACCACTACAAGAGTCATGCATGACACAAATCATAAGGACTTTTCACAGGTTGTAATGGGGCTAGGGTTAAGGTAGGGAATTTTTAGGAAATTAGCTTAAACAAAAGCTTCAAACTAGAGGAACAAATAAATACAAGTAATCCAACACCCTCAATTTCCAATCAAAAAACACATCCCATTGAGGTACAGAATGCTTCCTCAATATTACCAGAATTTCCCCTTACTTCATTTATTTAGAAGTAACTTCAACTCAAAATCAATTGCTGATTCTTTTTCATTTTCTCATAAATTTTCAGCAATATTCTTCTTTTTCAAACGTATATTCTTCATTTTTCCATTTCATTTTTTTCAATTTTTCATGTTTTTTTTTTTTTTTTGAATCGTGAATTGCTTCCTCTTTTCTTTTTTTCATAGAAGACCAACGACATATTGGCAACGAAGATACAACTCACCTCACTCTCAATCATATTAATAAGAGTAAGTGATCTCCCCCACACTTATCCTTCCCAACCTCACGTAGATTACAAAAATAATCCAAAATTTGCTCCACTAGTTATTCAGCTGGGTGAAGGCATTATTTTAGATATAAAAGGCTTGTAATGTGGTTCAAAATAAAGAAAGGAATGGCCATAAAGCTCAAAGTGGTTAACAAAGGGAAATAAATCATAGGACAAACCGGTTATTTGGCTAGTGAGGCTCAAAATCAAATAATGGCCTTAATCACATTTGAATCATGCATGGTCTAATTAGCTTTAAAAAGAGAATCAAGGCAAGTTCTAGAGAAACAAAATTATGGAAGAAAGCGCACAATAGAAAGAAAATAAGACCGAAGTGTCGGTCAATGGCTCAAAACACTCACAGGTTTATTGTTTACTTAATATAGCCACTACATATCAAACAAGAAATGCTAACAAACT